AAACCAAGTCTTATGAAATTCTTAGGATATGATATGAATTCCCCTCCGCAAAAACAGGCAAAAAAAATTAAATATGGTACGTCAAATTGTCCCGAACCGGTGTGTGCACTCTAACACTCAAGTCAGTGGGATATCTGAGATAAAAAAGCAGAATAACAAGTAAGGCGTATTTTGTGTATATGTGTGTTGTGTAATAGTAAATAAACATGTCCCTTTATATAGTGAAAGTGATCGTGCCTTGCAGGACTTTTGGTGTGATAGAGAGTGCTTCTCTTGTCCGTCTCTTAACTAAGCATATCTCAGATAACTGCCTAGAGTCCCAGCCACACTCGACTCCTCCGGTTAGTAGGATTCAAATCCTGTGCATTACACGGAATCGCCAACTCACTGCAGGCTAACAATCATCGGTAGCTCGGTTGCCCACTCATTTAGGAATTCATTCCTCGTCTGGCTATACACAGGCCGACCTCCTCAGTTTGGTCTGCCAGTCACCATTGTCGAGCTTATCCTGCACCCTAGATGGATGGCGTGCTCAACACTGAGCTCGCCATTCATTTCTTCTGAGCTCACCGTCAAGCATGTCCATCACCGTGAAAACCTGCTGAGCCTGTTCCCCAGGTTGACCGTAATTCCCGTCCCACCGAGCTAAGGTTATATCCCATATCTCTCTCCAACTCCCAGATGGTGAGCCGACTTAACTTGTGTCGATATAATATAAGCCACACTCTCTCTATGCTATATCATCTCGCCCCCCCAGTTTCGGGCGCGATCTACCCTAGATCGGCCAGAAAATTATCACTTGTGCATACCGGAGGGAGTAGTACAAATTTCCTTATGTACCTTTGCATTGAGCGTGATGCCACCTTTACTAGTTCACCCCATCCAATGTATAATCGTTGTTAGTGTTATATACTGAAAACTTGACTTTAGATGATATTACACTTTTACCCTTTATGAATGGGAAACATGTTAGATTAAACAAGTTCTACGTTCTGTTGTTTTGCATTAAATAGTTTAGGTCGTCGTCGATCGAACTGAAGATCATACTATCAGTTACTCGCGAAACCAGAATTAATGGTTCACAACCTAGATGGACATGAGCACCCCATCAGAACGGTTGTAGTGTCAATTGTACAGTATGTCTTGACTAATTAATTGCACTAGTACATATATGTATTAAACAGGATCCCAGAGAGGAACAGTTCATTTTATACAGATTGTCGTAAGTGAACTAGACCTCGGCTAATTACAGTGTACTCTTAACCCGTAAAATCATATATATCAGCTTTTCATATTGCCCCCATTTTCTCATTGCTCATGTTGGTGCATATACAAATTTTAAGTTACTAGGAATGTCCATTTTATTTGTTGGTTAACTGCTTATCCTCATGAATAGGGAATATAAGTATATCTATTTTATTCAGTTGTGCCCTTTGCTAGATGTCCCCAACAAGATTGTACAGACCCCGAAACCCTCACGCCATCAACGCCGGAAGCCATGAGTGTGTGCGCGAGAAGATGAATTCGCCATTGATTTGGCTTTAGGCCGTTGCCACGGCCATAATGGTTTGCGTAGTTTTCATGTTCAATTTTTGTAAGCTCACGAACAAAGGTTTTTCAGGGGAATGCCCAACAAAGATGTGCCAACTGTTGTTTTGGGCATCCTTTGTGATCGAAGTTGGGGTGGAAGAAGCAATGTGAGTTGTTTGATGGGAGGACAACGCATAAGGACAGAGCCTCGAAGAAGTTCGCGGCAGAGGACCTAAAAGACGAGTCGAAGAAGTCTCTTGAACAGACATTAGTTTCTTACTACATTTAAGAACATATGGAAAATTGTAAGGGTAAATTTACTGAAAATTTAACTTCATTAGACTAAATTTGAGTCTGTGGTTTGCTACCTTTTGCGGCAGGGATTCAATGTGGATGTGGGTTACAGGATGAGAATGGATGGCCGTTACTGAAAAAGTGATACTAATAAGATTGAAAAATCATTTTCTGGCTCAATATTGTTTTATTCTAGAGTATTTGTTGTTTATATACTGTGCTTGGCAAAGCACATCTGTAACACCCCACATTTATTTGACGAAAGTCAACTCAAAATTTTTCGAAATCTTTTACATAAATCAGTGGTGCTACTCAATCTAAATCCATAAATCGACATCACATAAGTCATACTTGCAATTATCATAAAACATGATTACACATTCATCTAACGTTTCATAAATTCCAAGTTCATCAAATTATTCAAACGGGAACATCTCCCAATCCAAAGTTTCGAAATCCCAAAGTTCAAAATTCATAAATGCCCAAAGTCGTAAATGCATAAATAAACATAATTAGGCTAAAGTCAACTAGCATGCGGAAACTACTGAATGAGATCAGTCAAAGACCGACACCACTCGTCTTTGCCTCGTCATCTAACCCATGATTAACCTGCATCCATGAATAGCAGGTAGGAGTGAGCACAAATGAAACCGTAGTGCTCACCACTATGCACATGAACAATAATAGATATGAAAATTAAATGGCATGGTCGCAGTATAAACACAAATCATTAAATATCACATCTCTTATCCCAAGTACATAAATATCTCATGTGCACACTTATAACAATAGACTATTGTTGGTATACGTATCGAATGCCCTCGCTTGAGCCTTACATCGATGCCCAAACAGTAGGAGGCTAAACTGTCACCACCTAGTGCTTTAGACAGGTAATACATCGCCAGCCGAGCACCGCACTGGACTTAGAAGCGACGCATCCTTCGTAAAGTACTAAAGAGGAGATTACCCTCGCGGGGTACGTTCTATAGCTACGGGGATAACCGTTCGGCGGCCGGTACAACTCACATCGAAGGTTACATGTTCACATGCATACATTGATCATACCCACATAACTAAGCATTTATCATTCATTGCATAGACATTTTCAATAAACCCACCTGGTATCCGGAGAAATAAGAAGTCACAAAAATTGGGAAATACAAGCTGAGAACACAGCTCGTCAAACACCTACATTTATTAAAAGAGCCCTATAAACAACTATCTCGACTCTTGGATAACAAAGCTTAAAGCATCTAAGGCTCATACCATCAGCACTTAGTTCAACTTATCTCATACGAGTAACATAAACATGCATTAAAGAATAAACACCATTTTCGAACATTTAACATGAGTTTTTCCAAAACTGGCCCGAGCAGCATTTTTAAAATTAACATAATTATCAGAATATAATTTATATGAACATGATTCAAGTATCAAATTAAACCTAAGACATGCATATACAACTTTTTTTAAGAACCCAAAAACAAATAACAACATTTAGCAGGTGATAATTCAGCAAACATCCAAAATAGAGTAGCAGACAAAAATTGAGAACATGCAACCGACCAGACTTCAGTAATTGCTAGTTGACTTGAGCTACAAACATTTTTTTTCATGAGATTCAAAACCCAAATTGCAGCCAACACAATTATCTACAACTTTACAGAAGACCCTATTGGAAAATAATGATGTTCTCAAAGAGTTTTAACACAAA